GTAGATTAGATTTTACCATGCACACGTGCTGTCAGCCTGCCCGGCTCTCAGTAGACCTGTGTTTATAATTAGGAGAGCGCTCTAGCCTGTAGGGTACAAAAAACCTACTTTATGCCTACGCGTCTTTCCCCTTGCCTCCCCTGTCCCTCGATCAGCATCCTTCTACTGCCCCCAGCTATCTTCTCTGCCGCCTTTCCTCAGTCTCTCACCACCTCTCTCCCTCAGCAAGTTATATTATGAAGCTTTCTTCAGACGGTACTGCACGCCTGACACGGTGCGCGCATGCGCAATATCTTCCGAGAGAAACAATATTTTGCAAAGATTATGCATTTAAAATAAGGAGGAGTTATCCTAGCATAGAATATTTATATGATAAGATTCTATCAATAGGAGGAAGACCTTGCATGTAAGGTCCCCTCTGCGTTTACCAGCCAGTACACAATCTGGCTATACGTTAGTGTGTTAGCGCATGCGCAATATCTTACCAGAGGAGTTATATGTTGTGATGAATATTTATTTAATATGGTTAGGGGGTTCAATAAATTAATTATAAATTAATAAAGTAAGTTCATGGTCGACAACATATCATTGGGCTCACCGTAATAAAGATGGGTCAGAAAATGTCCGAATGGCCCACCGGATTTGAGTAGGACTCTGGCCAGCTTAACCATCCGACTTTTATAGCCCGACTATAACCACCTCAAATTTTAACTGTTATTCCTTAAAATTTAATTTTCTTCTTCTTTTCTTCTCGAACATTAATGCTATACATGAATATATATGTACTGCAAATACAATATTTAAAGCGCAAATATTCAGAAACTGTCGTTGTTTGGAAATATTGCTGGAACTTCCACGCATTAAATATTCCAAAATAACCCATTCCCAGCAAAAGTACACTGGAAACTCCAGCAAAGTGATTGCCGACCGTAATTGGCCAGGTTCCCACGTTGCGCGTGCGTGCCTGTGTGTCGCGTGCGTGCTTGTGTGTGCGCGTGGGCGTGCGCGTGCGTGCGTTGACTACCCCCTCACTGCGTAGTGTGTACGTATTCACATGTTTTAGTAAAGGAGCTGAATTCCGTTTTTACATTCTGCTACAGTCCGCATTGTTGCAGGCCCCCGAAAATTGTCTTCTCAACTTGTTGTCAATTCTATTATGGATAAATAATCTTGCACAGCATTTCAGCGTATGGCAAGAACGCCGATTAAAGTTTATATCAGGTATAGTGAGGGGTGGATTGCATGGGCTGGATCGAAGCTGAAGAGAGAGAGAGAGAGAGAGAGGAGAGAGAAGAGAGAGAGAGAGAGAAAGAGCAGAGAGAGAGAGAGAGAGAGAGAGTGAGAGAGAGATGAGAGAAGCAGAGAGAGAAGGAGAGTAGTAGAGAGAGAGAGAGAGAGAGAGAGAGAAGAGAGTAACAGAGAGAAAGAAGAAGAGAGAGTAGAGAGAGAAGAGAGAGTACAGAGAGAAAGAGAAAGAGAAGAGAGAGAGTAAGAGAGAGAGCGAGAGTACAGAGAGAGAGAGAGTCTTCTTTTGTTCTGAAATATCAAAAATCTAAATATTCTGATAGATCAATTAAGCCTCTCTCTCTTCAGTCTCTCTCTGCTCTCTCGTCTCCTCTCTCTCTCTCTCTCTCTCCTCTCTCTCTCTCTCTCACTCTCTCTCTTCTCTCTCCTCTTCTTCTCTCTCTTCTCTCTCTCTCTCTCTCTTCCTCTCTCTCTCTCCTCTCTGCTCAATCGTCCTCTGCTCTCTCTCTCTCTCTCCTCTCTCATCTCTCTTCTCTCCGTCTCTCTCTCTCTCTCAATCTCTCTCTGCTCTCATCCTTCATCTTCATCT